CCCCCACCCTTTGCCCCATTTCAACTTCTTCCACTGATTTTCAATTTTCCTCTTCACACACCTACATTCCACATCACTCCTCACCATTAGTTGGTTATTGTTTTTATAGATTTGAGTTTTTGTGGCGAGTTTAAGTGTGAATTCTTCTCTAAGAAGTGTTGGAGAGGAAGAGAAGTGAGAGATTTCTTCTTCCCACATTTTCTAAGAGAGACTACAAAGGATTTGTTTTGAGAAAGAGTTTCAGATAAGTATTATTTATTTATTATTGTTGTATGAACTTTCTTTTATATATGAACTTTGTGTTTTGTTGTATCTTTCTTATGAAGTCTGAGTAGATTACTTTATCTTTCCCCCTACTATGGTTTATGGTGAAATGAAGAAATAATGTGGACGTGTCAATGTTAAAATTTAAAATAAATTGTGATGGTTTTTCAATTTCGCTCTTAATTTACTTTTTGATCTGGTCAATTAAATTGTTAAAATATGTTGTGAAACATATGATCCGGAAAATGGAGTATGAGTTCTACAAAAGAGTGAGAATCGCATTTAAGTCCATGAATGAGTATTTTGTTCATGGGATTAAGTGCAAATAAATAGGGGAATATATTTTGTTGGGTGTAGAATTTGAGATTTCTAGGGTGACAGACTAAACATCCCCAATTCAATCTTAGTATTTAAAAACTAAAGTGAGAGTTAGCCTTCAGGGGAAGGGAAATGGGAGCCAGTATCCTCTTAGCCTAGCCACAGATTTAAGTACTAAACCTAAGATTAGCCAATGATTTTCTATAACACTGAATCAGGGTAGAGAATTAAAATTGCTCCTATTTGACACAATACATATTTAAACCATTTATCTCATATCATTTCACCAAAAACTCATTATAGTGGGAAAAATATTTTTTCACATTAGAAAATTTCATCACATAAATATAGTTTAGTAGTTATTAATTTTAAAATCTTCTTTTAAATTCTGCTAGTAGTACATAATCTAACTTTGATAATATCTTAAACTTTCAAAATTAGTGACAGTAATTTTGTTTGACTTATGTAAATTTTTTAGTAAATTTATCATTTCAAATTTAAATCTTCCTCGTGGGATCGATATTTGGGACTTAAACAGAAAGTTTTATATTACTTGATAACGATACGTATACTTGCGTAGAATTCGAACTTTAAATGATTAACATTATTATTCATAAAATATCACATCAAGTTTTTGACGTTGTTGCAAAGCGGAGTCAACTTTATAAATTTTATACAACTATATTTTATTGGGATTAAGTTTTAGGCGCCATTATCAAGGAAGGTAACGGTAAATTAAATAAATTTGGTAAATTAGAAAATTTAGAGATAAAAATATACAAAATACAAAATAACAAAAAATTAAAAAAATTAAAAAATTTAAAAATATATAACTATATATTTAAGAGTATTTTTAATAAATTTTTCTTTGCTTATTATATTTGTTTATACGAAAAATTGGATCTGAAGGTTTAGTACCTTATGATTCAGAATTAGAACGTACTATTAGAAAAATTCGAAAACAACAAAAAAAATTAAAATTTTTAATAAAATGGCAAATAACATAGATAATCAAATAAATGAAAATCGACAAAACCTTTAAAAGATTATGCTAATCCAATAGCAAATGAACTTCACTTAACTATTCAAAATCCTGATGTTGTTGCTAATTCATTTGAGCTTAAACCCGTTATTATCCAAATGGTATAAAATAATCAGTTTAGAGGAACACCTATTGAAGATCCTAACTTACATCTTGTTAGTTTTATTGAGATTTGTGCTACTTTTAAATATGACAGAGTGTCTAATGATGTTGTTAGGATTAGACTTTTTCTTTTTTCATTAAGAGATAAAGCCAAGACTTAGTTAAACTTATCAACACCTGAATCTATCAAAAGTTGGGGAGAACTATCACAAAAATTCTTAGCTAAATATTTTTCACCCTCGAAAACCGCTAAGCTTAGAAACTATATTACATCTTTTTGTCAGTTTGAAGGGGAATCAATATATGAAGCCTCGAAAAGATTTAAGCATCTCCTTAGAAAATATCCACACCATGTTTTACCAGACTGGTTAATAATTTAAACTTTTTTACAATTGATTAGTAGGATCACTTAGATTATTATAGATGCTGCTGCTGGCGGATCTTTAATAACAAAACCTTTTGATGAAGCATATCTTTAATAGAAGAAATGACTACTAATAATTTTCAATGGCCCTCTTAACGGGTAAATCCTTAGAAAGTAGTTAGTATTCATAAATCTGATGTAATGTCTATTTTAGCATCTCAAATTGCTGCTATATCGAAAAAAAATGATCAAATTGGAATGAACTATCCTCAAATACTCTGGTATTTGAGGAAAATTCACCAGGACAGATAATTGATACTCAATCATCTTATGAAACTTTGAATGCTATTAATAATCGAAATAACAATCCTTATTCTAACTATTACAATCATGGATGGAGAGATTACCCTAATTTTAGTTGAAATAATTATAACAATTCAATGAAATTTAAACAATCAAGGAAATCTTAATTATCAACCTTATTATCCTCCTAGATTTAACTCTAACCCTAACCCACAAGTTAAGGAAAAAAAAATAACAATGGAAGAGATAATGTTGAATATGGGGAATATGGGAAATCAAATACATATGGGAAATCAAATACAAAATCAAGGGACTGTTATTAGAAATATTGAATATCAATTAGGACATAGTTTTAC